ATTCCTGCTAAGGAGCGGAATCCATTTGCCCCGAATCTGGCGGTTTCCAAAGCTTTGTGTCTCCAAAGGACCTTCCCACACTGATCTGCCTACCAAGGAAACCCCGGCACCCTGGAAGAGGGTTTGGGAGCCTGGGTCTAGAGCAACCGCCTCTGCTCATGGAGAGGCTGGCAGGGCTGGTTCAGGCCAAGGCTGAAGAAAGCCAACGAATGATGCCTTGGAACACCCCCTCCGGGGCCCACGCCACCAGCTGGAGCCAGGGAAAGGGTGGCAGTCCCCTCCCCTGCTGCCGGGCGTGAGCGGAGCGCCTAAACTACACTGGCCGGCTCCCCCCGGCTGCAAGCGCTGCAGTGGCGTGCCGACCCTGCTACTTGGGCCTCGCTTTGTCCTCTGGACCTGGAGATGCGACCTAAGGCAGACCCCGGGGCTCGCCCATGAGCAAATCCACAGCTGCTTTCACCGCCCATCCATTTTCCCAAAGAAAACGGCAGGCTCTTCATTTTTAAAACCTGTCCAGTCCTGCTCTGTCAGCGACCTTCCCTTCCACTCGGCAATAGCTCTATTTGGGTGCAGGATACAGTGGTACAAGTGCCGGGGCCCCCTCCCCAGGCTGGACCTTTTAAGGTGGCCTCTCTCACTTTTGGTCTACAGCTTAGTGAAGGAGCCCCTGCCTTGCTGGAATAGCTAGCGAGAGGACCCGGGGGGGGGGGAGAGCTTGGGAGGGGGGCTGGCAAAACCGGCTGAGAAAGTCCAGCGGCTGCGTATGTCTTGCCGTTCACACTACACAGCCCTCCAACCGTGGAGGATGTCTCTAGGAGGAAGCCTAAGTAAAAGGGCATCCCAAGCCGGTGATCAGGTAAGCAGCTGACCAACGGAGGTACATTTTTACGAGAAGAAAACCCGCGCGCAGCTCCATCCTTACCTAGTTCCAGCTGCTGGAACTCCTGCTCCAAAGTGGCGTCTCGCCAGTCTCGCCAGCTGCCTCGCTTGGTGCCGAGCGGGGCAGAATCCCACGGCTGCAACCATTCCTTGCGCGGGCTCGAGGAGGTGAACTGGGTCTTCTCCAGTAGTCCCTGAGGGTTGAGGGGTGGGCCGGGGCTTCTGGCAAATGGTGTGAGGCTCACGGGAGTCTCGGGCACCGGCCCGGCTGTTTGTGGGTGGTCTGGGAACGTGGGGCTTGGTGCCCACGGGGGGTGCCTGGGCTCTCTGCGTTCTCCTCCCCAGGGGCTCTTCAGGCCCCCCACTAAAGGACAAGAGGCACAAAGGAGGGAAGTTAGAACCCCGGTGGGGGGATGCAGAACCCCTGAGAACGCACGGGGCTTCCAAAGACGGAGCCAGAACTTTTGTTTTGGTACCTTGGTAAAAAAACAAAGAGAAAGGGACAGATAACCTCCTGCTTCCCCCCCCTCCCAGGCCACGTACAAGAAATGTCCTCCATGCTTTCTTTTAGCTTTGGCAAACGAAACAAAAAACACTGTGTACGGTAACCAATGAATAAATGTGCTAACCTGCATACCCGAGGGACCGCCTTTCCCCACACGTACCCCAGAGGACAGTGCAATCGGGGACCCAGAATCATCGGCTGCCTCTCCCGAGCTTCAAGGAGGCCAGACTGGTGGTCACCAGGGCTTTTTCGGTGGCGGCTCCAGTCTGGTGGAACGAGCTCCCAGAAGAGATCAGGGCCCTGCGGGACCCCCTCTCACAGTTCTGCAGGGCCTGTAAAACAGAGCTCTTCCGGCAGGCCTCCGGAGCCACCACCACCAACACCTCTACCGCCAGCAACTAATAACTATGCTAGCGGAACCCTGGCCCCGCTGGTCCCCTTAACACGGCCTGAGCGAATCACCCTACAGAGCCGCAGAAGGCCGAAGAGTTAACCGAGACCAAGGAATGTACTAGCTCTTTATTATGTTATTATGTTTGAGTTTTAATACTGTATTTATGAAATTATGGTTTTATGTGACCGTATCGTTGAGATTTTATTCTGTTGTGAGCTGCCCTAGGCCGGGAGGGGGGGATAAAAATCTAAATAAATAAATAAATTTCTACTGAAGACTCAGTGTGCTTCTTGTTAAATAGATGTGGTGAATCAAATCACTCAAAACAAATTATACAAACCTACTATCAATACCATATTCAAAAAATCACATAGTACAAAATAGTTCAGTGGTAGGCACTGTGTAGCTTCCATTCACAAAGACAAAATGAAACTGATGGGACTATTGGAGCTGGCTGCCCAGTTTTGAACCTTTTGAGAGTATTTTTTCCTGATTATAGTGGATTACTTGGTTCCGCTCCTGAAAAAGCTATCAGCAAAACACAAGTTCCCTAAGCTAGCTGCCACATTGGGAATTGCTGGAACTGTTGCCTTGTGGAGCTAAGAAATATCAGAAGGTAGTGATTGTGCATTCTTTTGTTGTTGTGGTGGTGCTATTGCAACCACAGAATACACTGTGGTTACTTGGCCTTGGGGAGCTACACATTGCCTTCTACTGCTGAGCCTCTCCGGAGGGAACGCAACTATTTGAAGCGCTTGGAATCCGACTTCATCCATTACATTTTAAGGACTGTGTTTGTTTCTGTATAGTGTTTTTGTTTCGTTTGCCTCTCTGACTGTGTATCTCCTTGTATTTTTTGGTTATAATTCCTTTTAACTTTTGGCAAAACACTGGGCAATCAGGTGTATTTGGAACACAATTCTGGTACACTCCCAATTTCCACAATAATGAAGGAGAAGCAAAACTTTTAGCAGGACTAAGAACTAATCTACGCATAATAATTAATGAGGTGAAAGAATCATGGAAGTACTTTTCACCTGCAAAGACAGGAGAGGAGTCATATTTTTACTTCTTACAAGCGGCCAACTAGTAAGAACATCAGACAAGTCCTACTGGATCAGACCAGTGAGGGTCCATCTAGTCCAGCATCCTGTCTCACACAGTGGCCAACCAATTCCTCTGGAGGGCCAACAATGGGGCATAGAGGCTGAGGCCTTCCCCTTATGTTGCCTCCTGGCTCTGGGATTCAAAGGATGCCTCTGGATGTAGAGGTTCCTTTTAGTCACCATGGCTAGTAGCCACTGATAGACCACTCCCTTCATGAATCTGTCAAATCCCCCTTTAATGCCATCTATATCTGTGGCCATCGCTACATCCTCGCAGCAAATTCTACATTTTAATCATTCTCTGTGTAAAGTAGTATTTCCTTCCCTCTGTCCTGAACCTACTGCCCCATCGGCGTCAGTGGATGCCCTACAGCTCTAGTATTTCAGGAGGGAGGGAGAAAAATTCCTCTTTGTCCGTTCTCTCCATCCCATGCATAATTTCACAAACTTCTACCCCCCTCCCCAATTTCCTCTTTTCTAAGTCCCAGACTGGATATATATTTTTTAAATGTTTATTGTTTGTCTTGAAGCTTTGAGCAACCCACCCCCCAATTTCTCTTTTCACACGCACACTTCTTTTGCCAGAGCCTGTGGTCCCTTCTGTTCACCGGGGCAGACTTTGCACTCTTTAAAAGAAGCCTTTAAGACTACACAAACGCTGCCCCCCTGGTGTGCCAGTTTAGTACGTGCAGGGAACGCCTTATGGCGCGGCATTCAGACATGTTCCCCCCGTCCCCACGGCAGACGGAAGGTGCACAGTGCAGAATCTGTGCCCTGGCTCATTCGGCACGATACGCAGATGGGCCGTTATGCTGCTTCTCAACTTCAGTCACAGGGGCTGACAGGGCACTCTGGGATAGCTAACCTGCCATGAGTTGCACGCCACATAATTTCACGGCAACAATCCCTTTTAAAAAAAAAAAAAAAATCAATTTATCCTATATCAAGGGATGTGCACAGACAAAGGCATATTCTGTTCAAAGGCTCTAAAGCAGAGGTGTCAAACGCATTTGTTACCAGGGCCGGATCTGACATAAATGTCAGTTTGCCAGGCTGGGTCGTGTGTGCCATAAAGAGTAATGCCAGGTACCAAGGATATAAACTGTATAAAAGACAGCAGCTGGTGAGCCCCGAGTTGGTGTATCCTCACTGCAAGGCCCCACGGGCTGGGAGGGGGGTGCGAAGGAAGACCCACATGGGCGGACTGGAGAGCCAGCGGTGCAGCACTGGGCAGACGCTCCCACGCTGCTTGACTGCTGCAGACGAGGTTGTTCCACCATGCTGAAGCCACAATCAGAGTGGCTCCGCCCACCCCCCACCCCCCGAGCAGTCTCCTGTTTCCTCCCTTGTACTAGTTGCTCACGGGCTGCATAAGAGCCTGGGACGGGCCGATTCCAGCCCCTGGGCCTCATGTTTGACACCCCTGCTCTAAAGGATATCTGGACCATTGGAATAAACAGCAAACACCACTGCCATTAAATGATGAGGAATTTCCAGCCAATTATTTACGACGACTATGAAGAATTACGGGGGAAAAACCCCTCCTCCCCCGGGCCACAAAGTTATGCAAAACCTCCGCCTTCTCTGCGCTCCACAATCAATTCTATAAGAAAGGAAGCCACATCTATTGGCTAGAGATAGTGGAATTCCAAAAACAACATCCGTGACGAGAATAATGAAGAGTCAATAAAGATAAGTTGCAAAAATGTCTGCTGTAGTAATTTCTGTAGACAATTGTCTTCTATCATCGCTCACACGCTAACGAATACTGTGCAACGAACAATTCGTTTCACGATACTTGCTTTATCTGCGTGTGTAGCAATCCCAATTTTTTTTATCAATCACTTCTTAATCAACTCCCGAAGGAAACATTCCATGTTGACTCTCTAATAACAGAACCCAAGGTCTCCATAATGGCTAGAGATATACAGATGTTCCCAACTGGTACCATTTGTAGGACTGTAGGAGCTTCTGCATTTAAGGACAGCCACAATTTCTTCACAAGTGCAGCTCATAACCAAGGAAACATCATCCATATAGTGAATTTACACCACCACAGTACAGTGAAAGCAAAATGGTACACGACCAAGGCCATGCCCACTCCCACCGCTTTGAGATTCCTGGCACGAGACCTCATCATGCGCAGAGAAACAAGCGGGTGTTCGTGCCCAGCAAAAGGTGGACTCCAGTTACCCAGAGCCAGAAATGTGCTCACCCTGTTCCAAAGCTGCACAGGCTTTAACTCTCAGCTCTGCGGCACCAGCCCGCTTCTGGGGCTCCTTCTGCAGGCCGGCCTGAATCACATTCACAGTGAATGGGTGACAGGAGGGCGGGATTTCCTTCAGAGGGGGTGGTTCTTTGGCTATCTGTAATATAGAAACATGGAGAAGAGGAAAAGGTTGGAACCCAGGAAGAGGATCTCCACGAGCGAGGGTCCTTCAAGTACCCCGGCCCCAGCCTACTTAGGGCCTGAAAGGAAAGAACCAGCACTTCGAATTGTGCTCAGGAGCAAATATAACAAGCAATAAGTACAGAAATGACCAGCCTTTCAGGGCTCCCGGCGTCCCCTAGTCTCTGCCCATGTGCACGGCATGCTTAGGCAGACCTGTCCCTCAGCCAGGGCTTCACAACCAGCTTGCAAACAGGTGCTTACCTTGAGACACAGAGGGTGATTGAAGTACCGGGTCCATGGGTGACACCCGTTCAGCAGATGCAGCAACATGCAGCAGCTGCTCCAGACGTCCACCTTCAAGTCGCAACACTTTCCCATCACCACCTCAGGGGCCAGGTGGGTCTCCGTGCCAAGGACATAATCCCCTGGAAAGGCAACAGGGAGAGAGCTGCTTTCTACAGACTTGGTGGATGGAGCCCGCGGGGCAGAAGCAAGCACTCACAGCTGGTTCGAAAAAGGGGCAAGGCCTCCTTGAATAGAGGAGCAGAGTGGGGTGTCTGTGTGTGTCTATTCAGTCACAGCATGGATGCGCTGCCTCTCTAGAGACCCGCTGGAGACCACTCACAAATCAGAAACCAATGCAACCATGAAAACCATAAGCCAAAAATAAAACAAACCCCTCGAGTATGATGCTCATGGGAGTGGGTGACTTGGCAGCAGTCTTGCTGCAAGGGTCAGATGTTTGCAAGTTGCTTGGAAGAGGCGGAGGGGGCTCCCAGCACAGGAAGGCATTGTCAGAGCGCCCCCCACCCAGGCTGCCCCCCTTCTCTCCCTTCTGATTCGTGCTTCTGTCACCTCACGGCTGGGTCGCTGTCACACGCCCTGAGCTGGATTGCCCTTGAAGGCAACTCAGAAACTGCAGCTGATCCCGAGAGCAGCAGCCTGATGATTACTGGGGCTAGCTGACAGGAACGGATCTTGCCCGTTTTGAAACAGCCGTATCGACTGCCAGTTTGTTCAATTCAAGGGGATATCCTTCAGAGCCCTTCACAGGCTGGGGCCCCCACATATCTGAAAGACAGTCCCATCCACTGCTGCCACCTGCTGCTCCACCCCACCCCCCACATCAACCACAGCCTGGGCCTTTTCAAGCACGGCCCCACTCTGTGAAACGGGCTCCCTGGGGAGGGGAGGGGAGGGGAGGGGCCCCTTCCCTGGGGGTCTTTCTGAGATGCTTTAGGGGCCTGCTTGTTTGCCAGGGCTATTTTGACATCCATCGAGAGGGAGGTTTTTTGGAGTTTTTATTTTATTTTATTTTATTTGCCTTTAATCTTTAATGTTTCAATCCATTCTGGAAAGCTGCCTTGAACAAAGAAGGAGTGTGCCTTTTTTTTTAACAAATATTCCAAATAAATAAGCACGCCACGTAAACGTTTTAAACCAACGACCGCCACCAGTCAAGTGAGCAGCCTTCCCAAAGGAAAATGTTTCCAGGTTTGCAGCTGTCGGGGCGGCAGCTGTTTCAGGCACTCAGAAGGGGCAGAGCGGCGAGGGAAGCCTCATTGGACTGGGGTATCCTCCATTATACCCTATGGGGACCACCGACTATCATGGTCCCCATACAGTATAATGGAGCCAAAAAATAAATTTACCAAATCCGAATACCATACTAGTATTGGGATTCAGGAATATTGGGCGATACCGATATTTTTTGGGTTCAATATACCCAACCTCGAAAAATACTGTGATTTTTTTTTTGCACAGCCCTATTTTTAACCTTCCGTCCTGAAAAGGGGACATTTTCATCCATTTTTTAAAAAAGATCCCAAAAGGGTACAGACGCCATAAAAAAAGAGGACATGTCCTCCAAAAAGAGGTCATTTGGTAACCCTACCCTAGGGCTACTTGTCAGGGCCAATGCCACAGAAGCTGAGTCGGGGAGGAGGGGTCCCTGCCTCCCCCTGCCATGCTGTTTTTCCAAGCCAGAACTGCCCCCGGGGGGATCTCTCTGTCCCACTTCAGAGCAGCATATGTGCAGAATGCTGCACGTGTCGCTCCAAAATGGGTTATTTCAGCTTAGGAAAACAGAGTAGGGGGGAAGAGGAGCCCCTTCTCCCCCCATACTGTAGTACCAACCTGAATCGGGCCCCTGCAGATCTGCAAACAACATTCCCCACAACTGCTGCTTGGCTGCAGGGAAAGCAAGTTGGGTCTGTTAAAAAACATACGTGTGTCATCTAGCCCTCAGCGTCTGATGGCTCAGAGACTCAGACAAATCAGGGAGTGGCCCAGGGTATTGCCTCTCCTACAAAAAAGAATTATGCAAAATAAGTCTATTTGCAAAATTGATACAAGCTACCTAAGGTGGACTTGCTTGGGTGTTGAACTTAATTTTTTTTAGATTTGCTCTTTTGAAATGCATGGGCTATACATGGTGCTTAGCAGGGCTATTTTTGGGCAGGAACTCACAGGAACGGAGTTGGCCACGCCCAGCAGGAAGTCATTAGCATAATAGGCCACACCCAACAGCAGAAATTCATTAGGATTGGCTACATCAGGGGTGTGTGGCCTAACATGCAAAGGAGTTCCTGCTCCAAAAAAAGGCCCTGGGTTTTGACAACAAACAAGGTAAACAGAGTAACAAGCAAAAGGTGGGTGTGGCTGGATAACCACACTTCTGGTAACATGGGGTGTGTGGCCTAATGTGCTAATGAGCTGTGCTGTCAGGGGTGTGGCCCACTATGCTAATGAGTTCCTGTTGTTGGGGGTGGCCTATTATGCTAATGATTTCCTGCTGGGCTTTTTCTACAAAAAGAGCCCTGGTGCTTGGAATGCCTAAGTGTAATGATAAGGACGATACGGAGGCATGGGACAGGTATTATGTGTCTCTTCTTACAGGAGTAACCACAGGCAAGGTGGGAAAGCTACCACCAGTGTTCCCTCTAAGCTGAGTTAGTGTCAGCTAGCTCAGTTTTTTAGCCTCCGGCTCACAGATTTTTGTCATCGCTCGGGAAGGAGGGCTCCAGAGCAAACTGATTGATGCAGTAGCCCAATCGCTCGCTCACAACTTTAATGCCAGCAGCTCACAAAGTAGAATGTTTTGCTCACAGGACTCCGCAGCTGAGAGGGAGGATTGGCTACCACCAGTGTTCCCTCTAAGCTGAGTTAGTGTCAGCTAGCTCAGTTTTTTAGCCTCCGGCTCACAGATTTTTGTCATCGCTCGGGAAGGAGGGCTCCAGAGCAAACTGATTGATGCAGTAGCCCAATCGCTCGCTCACAACTTTAATGCCAGCAGCTCACAAAGTAGAATGTTTTGCTCACAGGACTCCGCAGCTGAGAGGGAGCATTGGCTACCACCAGGGCTTTGTTGGTAGAAAAAGTCCAGCAGGAACTCGTTAGCATATTAGGCCACGCCCCCTGACTGCACCACTCATTAGCACATTAGGACGTACCCCCATGTTACCAGAAGTGTGGTCATCCAGCCACACCCACCTTTCCCTTCTTATTCTGTTTACCTTGTGTGTTGTCAAAACCCAGGGCCTTTTTTTGGCCTAATATGCTAATGAGCTGTGCTGTCAGGGGCGTGGCCTAATATGCTAATGGGTTTCTGCTGTTGGGTGTGGCCTTTTATGCTAATGAGTGCCTGCTGAGCGTGGCCAACTCGGGAGCCAGCCGGAACTCCGTTCCTGTGCGTTCCTGCCCCAAAATAGCCCTGGCTACCACCCCCTAAAATATCTGTTCTCAGAGCTGGCCCCGGGTGCTTAGTAAACGTAACGCAAGGAGGAGTCCAGACTTGGGTTTCAAGGGATGCACCTTCCACTGTTTTGAAGGATCCGTCACGACTTACCTGTCACCACATACTTCCCAGTGCTGTCTGGCCGGAGGTGAGCCGCGTGGCCAAAGTCACAGAGAACGGCGTGGCTTCTGTCACTGGATAAGAGGACATTGTCGGCTGGCAAGAGAAAGGACACCGCGGCCACTCAGGGGACTCAGGCAAGGCCACACAATGACAAAGGCCTGCTCCGTAGTGAGGCTCCTCAGCCTCTTTCTGAACAACAGGGCTCGGGTTCGGGCGGGGCGGGGCTCACCTGTCAAAGCGGGGCGGACCTGACAAAAGGGCACCCCCAGAACCACTGCCCCATAAAAAAAATCAGGATGTCACGTAAAAAAAAAATCAGACTAAACTTTTTAAAAATTAGGCTTCAGCATCCACACAGGAGCCAATGTGTCCTGGTGCCAACTCCCAGCCATCCCAGAGTTAGCGAACAAGCGGCACACATACCTTTCATGTCGCCATGGAGGACGTTGCGAGAGTGAAGGTACGCCAAGCCTTCCAGCGCCTGAGCCAGGTAGTCCAGGGCCCTGTCCTCCGGCAGGGAACCACACTGCTTGAGCAGATGGCTGAGCGACCCACCTGCGGGGAAGGATTCGTCACCATCCGCTCGAGGCGGCAAAATCTACACCAAAAGACCTCAACGCTCGGTCACCACAGTAAAGGAAAAAACAATGCAAAGACGCACGCGCACAGAGACCAAGGCTCCTGAATCTAAAGCGCAACACCATCTAAACCGTTTGTAAAAAAGAGATCGGCAAATCTTCATGCCTCCTTGGCGAGTACCCCTAATGCCACTGGAGGGCATGAAAAAGACCTTCCTGGGTCCTTCTACACAAACGGAGCTGTGGCATCTCTCACTTCCCCTCCCGGCACCACCCAGTACCCCGCTGCCTGCCACGAGTGCCTCTGCAATGCATCCCTTCTGGCCCAAGCCGTTGGAGCTGGGGTGGGGTATGTGTGTGCATATGCAGCGTCCTCTACAGCTGGCAGAGCACTGGTGGAGGCTGGGAAGAAAGGAGGTGGCGGCACGCGCTCAGGACTGGCTGCCTTGAACAGAAAGGGGGTGAGGTAAAAGGGTGGGGGTAGAGATGTAAAATTTCCGGAAATTTTGAAGCTCGGGAAAAAAAACGGGTTTTTTCGGGGGGAAATTGACATTTTCGGAAAAATTGAAAAAAAATGCATTTCTTTTGTCTTTTCTAGATTGAAAGTCATTCTGTTACTTTAGGAACATAAAATATGACTATGGACATTTTTACTTGACATGAAATTATCACAACTAGTATATTAAAAATATAGTGTAGCCAAACAATTATTATAAACAGAATACCCACCCACATGCAAAAACAAAACTGAAACCTCCTAAAGGAAGAAATGCATCTTGTTCTTGCATTGGAGAGTTCAGTTTGTAACCTAGGTCTTGCTTGTCCTCAGTGCACAGAAATTAGATCAATCTGATACCATATATATATATCTATATATATCTATATCTATATCTATATCTATATCTATATATATATATATATGAATGAAATGATTTGGAAAATATTTGAACACCTTGTCTTAAAATATTTTATTCATCATGTTAAAATAAAACATTCCACAATCAAAAAAATTTATTTTCTTTTTTCAATTTTTCCAATTTTTTGGAAAAAAACAAAAAAAAGCTTCAGGAAAAAACGGGAAAAAACAGATTTCCCCCCCGAATTTTTCCATTTTTTTCCCGGGCCTTCACATTTCTAGGTGGGGGCCGCGGCTGAAGTCAAAGTGGGCCATGGGGAGGGGGAAGATGGGCAAGTGGCAGCAGGGGGGCCTCCTCTTCAGCTCCGGAGATCTTCTGAAGCCGAGCAGCACACAGGAAATGCCTGCTAAGTTCCATGCGAACCCAGGAGGCCTGGTGCCTTCTCCCCAACTTGGGAGCTGGAGAGTGAGGCGGGATGTTCTCTAACGTCCTCCTCTACTTTGGCCGCCTACGCCTCTGAAGTTCCATGCAACCCCCCCCCCCCCCCCCCCCCCGCGCTCAGCATTGCTTCTGAGACAAAAGGTAAACTGGGGGAACATTTTGGTTGTGCACCACAAAAAAATTCCAAGCACCCACCCTCGATCTGGAATGAAAAAAGGTAAAAAGCAAAGCAGAGACATCAACCTTGGGTTTCGTGGAAAACCAGAAGATAAAACCACTGGCCAGAACAGCCGTCGCATCAAAAAGACAGCCGACCTCTGAGGACGAGGAAGCCGGTTTTGTTTACACAACGCAGGACAGACCTTGCCTGGCTGTTTTCATTGGCCAGGGGCGACTTGAGCACTGACTGATGTGAGCCACACCGAGGCCATCGGGTTTTTTGCCACCTTTGGTCACATACCTTCCATCAGTTCTATGAAAATAGTAACCCACGGGCCTTCCTTCACTGCTCCATACAAGGGAAGGATTTTGGCATGGGCCACCCCGGTGCATGTCGTCAACTCCTCTGCACGGAAGTTTTCAACGCGCACCTGAAGAAACAAGGACAGAGGCAAATTGTTCAGGCATATACAGTGCTCATTGACTTTAGTGGCTTTGACACACAAATCACAGGCTTTAAAAAAAAAAAATGACCTGGATATCATGTAGTCCAGACCTCTGCCCAGAATAACTTCTCTGAAGGAGACAAAAAACAACAGCACGATAACCCTTTATGTAGGGCCCATGGAGACGGGGAGCTTTGTGGGAGGGAAGAGAAGCCAAGGTATTTCACGGTGAGAAGTACAGGGGGGAACGAATGGGCGGAGGCACCCGTCAAAGCAGGCGAGAAAGAAATCCCAGGGGGAGAGCAGACACAAGCTTTCCGCAGGGAAAGCTTGGTGAAGACAATGGAAGAAGTGGCTGCCGGTGGAAAGAGACTGCTAAAAAGGCCCACACATCAAGCAGAAGACTAAATGGGAAGAAAAGCATGCTGGGAATGCCAGGAAGCAAGCAAACACTGTATAAATAACGCAGACCACAATTGCTCAAAAGTCATGCAAAACAGAGGTAGTTTATATAAGAATAACAGAGGACCACATATATCAGTAAAATAAATTTACATCATACAATGTACAGGTTCATGAGTAGTGCAAGTCCATAAATGGTACATAGATAAGAATAGTGCAAGTCCATAAATGGTACATAGACAGGACGAAGACTCCGGATTTAGATCTTCGTTTCGACAGCTCTTCTTCAATTATTACTGACTATTGAAAAGTTTGTTCCTTTGCTGATCGGGTGCCCGGCTGTGAATGATTATAATAGGATTGAATTTTCTCCTATAATACTGGTCTGAAGGCTTTTATACACTGAGTGCTGTGTGAAGGATTTTTCCTCCTACATATACCATTTCAAAGTCTTCTGTACATTATGTACATTATGAGTACTTTATGAAGTAGTATGAACTTCTTGAAGAAGAGCTATCAAAACGAAGATCTAAATCCGGAGTCTTCGTCCTGTCTATGTACCATTTATGGACTTGCACTATTGTTATCTATGTACCATTTATGGACTAGCACTACTCATGGACCTGTACATTGTATGATGTAAATTTATTTTACTGATATATGCGGTCCTCTGTTATTCTTATATAAACTACCTCTGTTTTGCATGACTTTTGAGCAAATGTGGTCTGCGTTATTTATAGTGTTTGCTTCCTTTCTGTGAATTTGTATACTGTGATATCGCACTGGTTTATGGGAAAGCCAGGAAGCCAGCCGGGAGTGAGGATGGCTAAAGGAGCCAGATGCAAGCAGAAAACAGAAAATTGGGATTTGACATAGTGGTGGGAAGTGGAGCTAAAAAGAACCACAACTGAGCTTAGGGCTGCCAAGTGGGGGTGGGGGGTGGGCAAACCCCCGCTTTGGAGGCCCGATTTCCGCCGCCGCGGAATCGGGCCCCGGGGGCCGCGAAATCGGGCCCCAGGGGGGAACTCCGCCCCCCGAAGCGCAGCGTGGCACATCAATCACGTTGGGGGGGGGGTGGCCCCGATCGTCAGAGGGAAAACTCTATGGTTTCCCCTCCGATGATCGGGGCCACCCCCCCCAACGTGATCGATGTCGCGCGTCACTTCCGGGATGTGCTGGCAGCACGGGCGCACTTTGCGCGCGCATCAGAAGAAAGCTCCCAGAGCCCGGCAACGATCCCCCGCCGGTAAGAAGATTAGACTTGGCAACCCTAACTGAGCTGCCTCAGTAGCCCTGTGGGCAGAAAGGAAGGCATATAAGCCTTTTAAGTAAATATTAAATTAAGAAAGGAAGATGAGCTGTGGGCAGGCAAAGAGAACTTTGGAAGACAAAAAAAGGAGCCCAGAAGATCAAACCTAGTAGGGGGGGGGGAGATCTGGTTTCAACAGGCCAGTCCAGCCTCTTCTTGCAGGCCTTTAAGTTAAAAAATGCAGTCACAAAGACAGTGAAGCTAGCTGGTATCTGCACACAGCACCCCACGAGCTAACTCGCTAGGCCGAATTAAATGACCGTGACTCCTTGAACACAGGCATTTGAAAATCCACCCTGCGTAGGACTGTCTCTTTTTTTTATTTACTATGGCAGCTTTGCTAGGAACAAGAGGAGAGCTGAAGAGAAAACAGCCCAGCATACAGTCTGCTGAAGATAAGGAGGAAAATATGAGTCACTTGGACGCCCGCCCCATCGAAGTTTGCTCGGCTTAGAACATGAAACTGGAAGGAACAGAGGAGCCTACAGAGCAGGGAGGGAGGCATCCGGGGAGAGAATAGTGGATACATGTCAAGTTACTAGAAGGGCCTCCGCATACTGGCACATCGGTGAAACACAATTCCAAACTCTGTCTTGTCGATCTGTCTCCTCAGAATCAGGTGCCATTAATAACCCTGCTCTGAACACACCCCTGTTTCCATTTCTAAGCAGGCTTGAGCCTGGCCAATAATGGGGTAGGAAGGCACCTAGCAGTACCGCAGGGGCCTCGGAGGAAGGGCTGAATACAAACCATTGACCCAAACTGCTGATGTTACGTAGCAGCCCAGGCCTGCGACTGCAAGAACTTCCCTTTGCCACCGTGCCAGACAAGACACTCTTAGTGAACATTTCCGTATTTTAAATGTTATCTCCAACAGTCAAAATGTCCCATTTGGAGCTCAAAATTGCATTCAAGGAAGGAAGGAAAGAAAGAAAGAAAAATCACACCCCGCAGGCCATTATTTTGGACTTCCCAGAGCTGCATTCCTCCCAGCACATAACCTGCTGCACCCACCGCCCACTCAAGGCAGAGGTTTCACTGTCTGGCATAGCCATGGCAACGCCTTCTCGCTTGACCTTGAGATCAGCAACAAACAAGTTACGGCAAACTCAACAGCAGAAACAGCTTGGCAGTTCCAAAGAAAAGGGAAGGACTTCTGGTTCCCCCTTTCAATTTCATTCTCCCATTAGCCTCCAAGTACAAATGCACCAGCCCACACACATCTGCCTACCTTTTTGGCTGCACACTGAAAGCCTGTCTGCTTGTCTTTTACTTGGTACACCTCCCCAAAGGATCCCATGCCGAGGAAACCCTGGCCCTTGGACCAGTGAACCTCTTCACGGTACTCATAGTCCACGGCTTTGAGTTTCTGTTGAGAAAAGAAAAACAGGATTTGAAACAAGCACAAAGCGAGGACAGCTTCGGAGCTGAGCGTCATCACGGCATGTGGATGACGTTCAGCTCTCATACTTCTCTAATGGGGCTTCCGGAAGCAGGGGGCTCTCTCCAAGGCCAGGATCTGGGCGCTGAGTTCAAATGGAGCACGCCAAGATAGGAGCCACACAAGATGGAGGGGCCGCTGGTAGGAAAGATAAGAGTCAACTGGGAAGTAGGGCGGATTGATGCATCCTTTGGAGGGAGACGGATCAAGATGAGTAGCCGTGTTAAGTCTGCCTGTAGCAGCAGAAAAGAGCGAGGGTCTGGTAGCACCTTAAAGACGAACAACAATCGTGGCAGGAGAAGAGCTTTCGTAAGGCACTGCTCACTCCTTCGGGAATCTCACAAAACCTCAGGTATAGATCAGTGACTCACGAAACCTCATCCCCTGCCACACATTTTGTTCGTCTTTAAGGCACTACTGGACCCATGCTCTTTTGGAGGGGATAAAGTTATTCTTATCCAGCTGAGTAAAGAAGTTAAGGGTGCTCCTAAACTCCGCCTTGCTTTCGGAAGAACAGACTGGCGTGGCTGCTGCAGTTTTCATGCACGGTTGGGTATGTCGGTCAGTTCCCCTTTCAGACGCTGCTGGTCTTGCCACAGTGATCCAGGCAACAACTATAACCTCTAGGCTGGACTACACACCTTAGGTGGGGCTGCCCTTGAAGGCAGAAGATCAATTTTTGGGGCGGAGGGAAGGAAAGGTCATATTATGTGGCGCTGACGCAAGACATCTGAGCACATAGCCTCTGTTGATAGAGACTAGAACAGGGGTCCTCAACACGGTGCCCACCTTTCCTGGCACCTGCCAAGTGCTTTCAGAACATGGACAGGGCCAAGTGGGGCTTTTACCCAGCAAGGCTTCTGATGGGCTGGGCAGATTTTTAAAAAAGTAAGATGTGGCAGCCATTTTGTGGCTGCGCCCACCCACAAGATGCCAGGATTCCAGGATTTCCCGCAGGCTCCAAAAAGGTTGGGGGACCCCAGCACCACAAGCCATTCAGTGGCGTCTCCTGCCTTCAAAGGCAGATCCAGCACTTCTCCCCACCCCCCAACCCCCAGGAAGAACACGTAAAAAGGCACAAACGGTTGTGCAGCTGCCCTTGGCAGATCACGTGCCAAGAATGGCTTCCCCAGCTTCGTCTTGCATGGAGGTTTGCTCCCTCTCTTTTTCTTTTTTGGACAAAACTGACTCGGCCACACTGATTCATGCTACTGCAGTCTCTCAGTCTCCGGCTACTGTAACACATTCTACCTGGGGCTGCCCTTAAAAAAGAATCCAAAGACAACTGGAACAAAATGTAGTAGCGCATCTGTCAGCTGGAATCAGCCAGAGCTAAGACTCCACTGCCTTGGCTGCTGGTACGTTTCCGGGTTCAATGCAAGCCGCCGATGCTCACTTCTAAAGCCCTTTCTGACCTAGTTTCAGGTGGGCAGCCGTGTTGGTCTGAAGCAACGGCACAAAGTTTGAGTCCAGCGGCACCTTCAAGACCAACAAAGTTTAATTTGGGGTATAAGCTTTCATGTATTTATACCCACACGAGAGCTTATGGCCAGAATTAAACTTTGCTGGTCTAAAAGATGCCACTAGACTCAAACTTTGTTCTTTTTGACCTAGGACTTGAAGGACCACCTCTTCCCAGGTGGCTACTCCGACCTCCCAGTCTCCCAGCTGTCCCCTCACACGGGCAGTTCAGACAGCCTATTCCCAGCCTGTCTCTACGGCTGCCTCCTTCATGACGGAACAGCCTTCCGGCACCACATCTGGAAGCCTTCTGATTCGCCGGGCTTCCAGGAACGATGCACGGCTCAAGTTTTCAAGACAATCTTTCCCATAACTGGCAGGCTTCTGAAAGGAGATTTTGTCTTTTAGTTACTGCTTATGTGTACTGGTTAAACTGATTGATTTTCAGTCGGTCAGTTTATTTCTACAGTCCTCAGACCAGTCATACAAAAAGAAGAACGCCTTTACAATATTCCAGGATTTTAAAATACATCAGTGAAACATTGAAAGCAGAATTAAAATTTAGTCTGATACCAATCTGCTATATCTGACTAGCTACCTTAGAATTTCCATGATCTGAGTATCACCATACAGAAACTGGTTACTTGGAGGGTAATCTTGGGATTTCCATCAGATAAGAGATGATTGATTTTCTTTGTTCTAAGCTACCTTGGGACCATATGGGGAAAAGGTTTGCGGGGGAGGGGGGTACATAAAAATATAAACAGGGTATAATCATGGAAACTCAGCCCTTCCTTGCTTTCTGGAGAGGAGGTAGGCCAAAAAAAAAAGAATCACTTCTGCTACAGTAACATTCACATGTGAATGAACCACGCAAGAACGGAGGGAGTTACGTTTCTCAATAGAAGAGCACGTACTTCCCCTTTTCACTGCAGAAGTTAAGGCGAACCAAGGGCTTCATAAAATTAAGAATGCACATCCATCATACAGAACAGCCTTCTTGAACTGTACCCACTGGAGGTCACACACGGAGGAAGTCGCATGTTTGAATCTGCCGCCTCCCTCCCAACACACACACACACACACTCTCTCTCTCTCTCTCTCTCTCCTTGTCTGTTGAAATCTAGCACATCAAAAAACAGACTTGTAGCCTCACCTTTCCTTAAACATACCAGCTGCTTTTGTATTTGGAATTTTTTTGGTGGTGGTGGTGGTTTAATTTCTAGCCAAGGAAGGAGTCACACAGGCAAGCCGCACCACTTGGCTGAACTGATAGTGTTCAAGAAGTCGGAGCTATGTAGCACTACCGAGTCTGGAGTAACCACGTAAACCTGGCCCGAGGGAACGTACAGATGTATGTCTCTACTTTCCATACTTAGCAGTATCACCTGCCCCATGAAGTACATATATGGCATCCCGAGGCACTAATGCTCTGAATCCCAGAGTCAGGAGGCAACGTCAGGGGAAGGCCTCGGCCTCTGTGTCCTCTTGTTGGGCCTTCAGAGGAACCATTTGGCCCCTGTGTGAGACAGGATGCTGGACTAGATGGACCCTCACTGGTCTGACCCAGCAGGGCTCTCCTTGTGTTATGTTCTTATATGTTACCTGGCTCTAGAAACTCACCTCTATCAGCAGCACACCTTCATTCTCATCCGTCTCCTTGGAGCCCGATCCACATCCCTGCCAAGTCTTGGCCAAACCAGCCAAGTTCCTCGGCTCTCCAAGAACGACGCTTCCTTTCAATGCATCTACCAGGAATTCCTCTACAAAGTCTGAGGTGGCTTTGGAGGACTGATGGCTGCATTTGGAGAAGCTCTGCTCCAAGCTCAGGCCTGACAGGTGACGCTCAACGTTGGCACGCGAAAGGTCGTCAAAGAGATACGTCTCCAGAGGGCCAAGTCTCAAGGCAGGAAGCCAGTCACCACGGTCACGGAAAGGAGGGGAGAACTTGCCATAACTGAAGCCCAGGGTCTCTGATGGACGGGCTAAATTGTCCTGAGTGTGGCACTTCCAGACATGGTCCAGGCACTGAGCGGGGCTGATCAGCTTGTACAGCTCTAGTTTGCCGTGGTCCTTCAGCAAGGGCAGCTTGCCAGGACGGAGGACACCGCCAGGTTTATCGGAAGGGTCAAGATCGCAGGCCAGATCCTTGCGTGACTCCAAACACCATGAACTGCTGCTGAAGAAGGTGCCCAAGTGGGAGTCATCCTCCTAAAGGGAAAGGGAAACAAAGGTGCTTGGCTGTGAGTGGCATGCCGAAGACCCCAACTGACAGGATTGGGACACACACACACACACCCCAATTTACAAGCCAGCTGTGCACCGGGCCAAAAGTGCATTACTACTTCCCAAATACCTGATTCAGGGTAATTTTTTTAGAAAATCAGCAAATCAAGTGCCCACGATTTCTCTGACCCCGTCCTTCCACTCCAGAGAATTTACGCCCGAGGGAGTGCGTCTGAGAGTGGATGCGAGCCACTGGACAAGCACACACACTGAACTAGGAAGCTGAAAATAATAAGGCTGGACCCAGGGGAAAATTCCTGCAGATAGAGGAGTGTGATTTTCCCTGCAACAGAACTCCCATCCTCCCCCCACCCATATGCTTCCCAGGAGCCCCCCCCCCCGTGCCCCAGGACCACCATTCGGGGCCACAGTGGGAAGGGGGAAGGAGGGAAGGCAGGCTCTGCAGACGGAAATCCCTTCCGTCCACGGAAATGACCACTGATCCAAGCCACTGCTCGTTCTGTTGATGTGTCATTGATCCTCATAGTCCTCATTATTCCTTATCGTGGTGAACGATGGGAAAGACCCAGGACTGGCAAAAGGCCCCGGGGCAGTAATGTGGGTGCAGACAGCCCATCCCCTTCTTGCATTACAGATGGGTGTGCAGCCCCCACTTCAAAACCCATTTCGGTATTCAGGGGCTCCTACCCTGAACACCTTCTGCCAGCCTTCCGGGAAACAGAGAGAAGAGCACGGCCCTGAGTGGGAGGGGCTGTAACCAAGGGGGCAGAACAGAAAGGGGAAGTTTAGGGAGCGCTGAATCCCACCCTGACTTCGGCAAGAGCAGCCCCCATTTCCCCCGATATGGAGCTTGCAACCATTCAGGTACAAACTAGACATTACAAATTTCCACCCCCATCCCCACCTGGTTTTGTTGACCCAAAATGGACCTGGGGAGGTGCTCTTTGCCTCGTGGGTGGCTGCATAAATACAACAGGGGTGCATATGCAGCCCCCAGGAGGAAAAACAGCACCCCCCCAAGGCTGCTTCAGCTCAGCAAAATAACGGGGGAGGGGGGAGAGATGAAGCCCTTTCTGCCCCCACGCTGTGATCCTGACCTGAAGCAGGGCCCTGCACAGCTGAAAGATTAGTTTCTAGCTGCTGACGTGTAACTGACAACCTGAAAACCGGGTCAGGTCTACTGTGTTCAAACTGTGAGGTCTAGCTTGGCCGGAAGACAAGAGGATCTGTATCCTGGGTTTGATTAAGACACGTAGGAGGCAACGGAGACACCACACCTGCACTGGGACAGGCACACAGCTCTCCTGCTCGGGGGTCCTTGGCTTCCGAGTTGGGGCAGGGGTCGTCGTCAGGCGGGCCTTTTTCTTCTTCCGGTTCTTCCGTGCTTTGCCGCGGTGCAGGGCCCTCCGATAGGCTGGGGCCATCTTCCCCTCGGTTGCGCGGGCCACATTGTTGGGGATCTGATCGAGACTGCAAGACCGGCTGACAAAGGACATGGGGATTTTATCTTAAAAAGCCAAGCAGCAACGAAAGAACATGGACTGAAACTATGAGGCAGAATACATCAGAACGGCATCTCGGGGGTGGGGGTGGGGACCACAACGTGAAAAACGGCAGCTTTGGGGCTGAAAAATGGCTCTGAATGGCCTTTTGTAAGTGCACAGGTCCCTAACAGGCTGGCTCCAAAGGTTTTGTTCCAATCAGGGCAGAGCCTTCCTGCCTGCTCCACTATCGTGTTGACATTTTGATTCCAACACAGCCAGGTGCCCACTGTTCCTTCGGCCACTGGGATGCTTCCGCCACCCGCTCGAAGGCCTCTAAATAAGCCTCTATTTCATCTTCTGGTCCTAAGTTTGTGAGGGACGGCCACAGGCCGCGGCCAGCGGTGACTGGTCCGCCGCCGCCACCCGGCACCGGGCGGACCACCACTGCCTGCTGTAACTCCCGCACCAGAGAAGCCTGTGCCGCTTGTTGTTGCTGCGACAGGTCTCGCAGCAATTGTGCTTGGTGCTCCGCCAACCATTGACCAAATTGTGTGAAGTCCATGGTGGGGGTCACAGGGCTTCCTCCGTCGGGCCATGCCTTGACGGAGTCCTGACTTGAGGATGAGGTCTGTCGAGTACCGGCTTCGGGGGGGGGGGGTTTGTGGCCCGTGAGCTCTCTAGGTGGCAGCCACCCCTGAGGAGTAGGTATGCGGGGGGATGGCCTACCTAGCGGGTCTGGCGTGCCCGCATTCTCCACCAACTTGTCACGCTCCCCCCTTCTTTGCTGCCAGTGATGTCATCACTTCTCAAGAGGATACCTGACGGGTGGGGCTCAATTCATAAAGGAGACACCCCACAGCAAAAAGTAGGGTTGATTGGCATGGGGGGGGACATTTCATGAAACAGAACTGGAAACAAGCCCTATGCTTTTTATATTTTACTGCTGGAACTCAGGTACAAAACGAATGGTAAGAAGGACCCTACAGAGTGGCTTCCTGGAATCAAGATATGTTTTCCATCCCACACTGTGATCTTGAATTCCCTCCACACACTCCATCTTTTCCTTCCTTTCTGTTAATCAGAACCGTCATTTTGAAAAGCCTCGTCCTCAGGGAATCTTTCCCACTTCAACTTGACCAGGAACTGCGAACTCTAGCGCTCTTTTCGGGGTCCCTCCTGGACCTTGCAGCTGCCCCACGTTAAGCAAAGAGCACGCCCTGCCAAAACACAGCTGAACACTCCCTTGCGACTGCAACTAAGGAGCAGTGGGACTGCACACCCCGGTACAGAGATAGAATCTACCTGCTGGGACCCCAAAAGGCTGATACCTTGGGCACACATTTCTTGTCCCCAAACCTGTTCTGAAGAGGGTGCTTCACAAACCCTGACATTCCCATCTGCAAAAACTCTTAAATGCTGTGCCTGCCTCCTTGCGTTACAAAAGATATTTGAGGTCGTCACTGCACAATAATCCTCTGGGTACCCCAGACCCTCTCATTACCTGTATCGTTTACAAGCAATAAAAGGCCTTCCAGAAAAAGTGGGGCTGAACTCTTGGCTGTTCTCACCTGTAGGAAAGAAAAGAAGACAAATGTGGTGACAGAGTGAAAGAGAAAATCAACCACCATGACATCACAAAGATCAATGTCCCTATTGGAGTACTGTATTATAACAACAACAACACAGGACTGGACTCCTAAGACACACCATAAAAAAAAAAGAAAACAATCTGCAAAACAAAACAAAAACACAAACCACAGAATCCAAGGTTTTCACAAAATAAATTCTGCACAAAAACGAGAAACCAGAATGCAATGCGAACAAAGCACTCCATTACTGAATTCAGTCACAAATGATTAAAATGTGGAATTCGCTGCCAGAGGACGTAGGCAGGGCCACAGGCACAGAGAGATTTGAAAGGGGTCAGACCGACACATGGAGGAGAGGTCTAACAGTGGCGACTAGACATGGTGACTGAAGGGAACCTTCACATTTGGAGGCAGCACACTTCTGAACATCGGTGCCAGGAGGCAACGTCAGGGGAAGGCCTGGCGGGAGACAAGACGCTGGACCAGAGCGACCACTGGACTGATCCAGAGGGCTCTTCTGATGTTCTTACAAATGTGGGGTAAGTTGATTTTCAGACTGCCATAGCTGGTGTTGTCGGGACTCTCCGTTTATTGTAAATCTCAATAGTTACAAATCATTGCACTTGGAACAGTGTACTGTGCAACATCCACTTAATGAAGATGCTAAGATCATCCTCTCCAGGGATCGTTTCGTAGAAAAAGAGCTAGGGGAACTCATTAGCATAACTCATTAGCATATGCCACACCCCCTGACATCACCGGGAGTGTGTCATAAGGCCACACCCTCTGACATCACCGGAAGTGTGTCATAAGGCCACACACACCACCCCCAACGGTCCCAGCCGCCGGCGCCGGCACTGCAGCGCTGAGCCCCATGAGGGGCCCGGCGGTGGACCTGCAAGGCCAGCGGGAGTGCAAGGAAGC